GGGGGTGCTTTTTACCAAATGACTTAAAAACGGGTTGGTGTTTCAAAAAAATCAAAAATGGTTAATGATTTTTTTATTGATTAAGCTACAGGGCTATGTATATTAAAAAGCCCCTGAAAAATAGATATAAAAACATGTGTCACATATTAATATTTGTCAAAAGTAAAAATATTTATATTTGAACTTTTTTCCGACGTATTTTTTGAACTTTTTTAAAATCCTCCCTTTAACCCTAACCATTAAAGATAGAGGTCCATTTTTTAAAGAACAGTCCTTGAAAACTTTAATTGCAAAATCAAGGTGTTGGGGGGGGGGGGGGACACCTCCAACCTAATCTATATTAGACCGAAATATCCCAATCTGGATAGGGTTAAAAAAAACAATGGTCGGTATTATTTCCAGGCCAAATTCTTGTAAATTTTGACCTAATTCATAAACCTTTCAATAGTTTATAGTTTTAAAAATGAAGCCCAATCGGTTAAGCTGTTGGGACATTTATTGGACATAAACAAACATGGAGGCACCCAAGCATAGTATTTATATATATTTATAATTCTTTTTATGAAGTGTCTTATCTTTGAAATTGAAATGCACTAATTTTTTAAAAAGGAAATGAAATATTCAAAATGTTGTTTTCGGAATGTCATGTCTATGAAATGTTTTATGAATTAAATAGTTTATATTAAATCTATGAAATGTGTAACTTCTTAACTTCTTCAAAATGTCCTGTCTGTGATGTAACTGTGAACTAGCCTAATCATATTAAAAAAAATTTTTTTTTCGTTTTCTAAGAATACCAATACTGCTAGAATTGTCCTATAATTTTATACATATATTAATAATAAGTATGTTTGCAGTATTATTTTTAATAATTTGTTTAGTAAAAAAGATCGAAATATTAAACAATTTATCATTGGTAGAAATCATTAATCGTTTATTATGTTGCTGTATTTACACAAACATAAAATTACCATTATACTATTGAAATAAATGTCATAATATGACATTGTTTTTCAAGAAAAAGAAATGTTTTTTTACCGTGTTAATTGAATAAAATAACACATCTGGTTAAAAATAAACATACGTTGACGTCTCGTGGAATTAAAAAATAAAACGGTAAATTTTTAACAAGATCTCAGAGTCGGAAATATATGGTTTTAATATTTTCTCTCATTTCCAGAATATAAAACATGTTATTCTTTATTATAACTTGATTTGAGCACAACGAAATATAAAATTATATCACAAAAATTATAAGAAAGTAAGATAACAAAATTAAATACTTTAAAGGATCATTTTGAACAGGGAGCTGAATGTTGGAAAATTTTACAAAATCTCAATTATGCCATTGTCTTTAATGTACAAGAATTTATAAACTGTGATTGAATAAGTATAATATCATTCAGGCCAATTATTAACATTTTGGCCCAGCTTATATTTGTTTTATAATCGTACATGGATGTAGATTATTTAATATTTTGTCATTTTGCACAATAGCAAAATGGAAATTGGGAATTAAATATCTGATAAACTGATTGGCTCGATTTAGGCCTTTTTCATCATATCCAGTCAAGATCAGTCTTAAAATTAGAAAGTAAATATTCAGCGCCCCCCCTTTTTTTTAAAAAAGGGGGACATACCTAGGGATGGGCATTGTGTTCAAAAACGATCGGAAAACGATAGTTTTTAGTTTATTAGTTTTAAGAATAAAGCAAATTGTTAAAACTAAGGATGTGTTAGTTTTAAGCCTTTGAAAACGAAACACGAAAGGACAAAACATATAGTTTTAAAGAAAAAACAATCGTCTGTGTTTCAATTTTATTTTATCAAAATTCATCATTCGAAGCGAGGTTTGTAGATTCAAATTGTATTTTTCATTTAATATTTTTTTGTCATTTTTATACCAAAACGATCGGTTTCATCACTATCATTTTCATTTAACAAAGGATCATTTTTTCCAAAAACGATCGTTTTTCCATTTATGTAAACCATTGTTTTCCGGAACGATTGTTTTGAAAATGATAGTTTCGTTGTTTCCTCTAAAAAACTATCATAACTTGGTTTCAACCCTTTTAAAACCGATAGTTTCAAAAAGGATTGTTTTAGCTTTTTTTCTCCATTAACAAAACGAAACGAACGTTTTTCAAAAAAGTCAAAACTGCTTACTACTCATCCCTAGGCATATCATTAGAAAAAATGTCAAACAATTAAAAAGTAACGGCAGTCATGAAGCAAAAACAAAACCAACATTTTTTCTTTACTTTCCGTACTCCCTTTAAAGGGAGCGTACATGAATATTGAAAAGGGAATATTTTCTATTTAATAGTTGGTTTTGGTTTTATAAATCTGTTAATGTCTATAGGTTCCCAGTTTGAACTGTTCACATGAGCAGAAATGTGCTCCTCCTGAAATATTTTAAATAAATGTTTAAAAGGACTTACTGGCGCATTGTTATATACAGCAAAAGATTTAAAAGGTTCCTTTGCGAATCGGGTGAATCTGTTTAAAATGACTCATAGACTTTACAAGCCTACAAGTTTACAAGTTTACAAGTTTACAAGCCTACAAGTTTACAAGTTTACAAGTCTACAAGTTTACAAGTTTTCTCAAGCAAATAATTAAAGGGAACCAGTGTACAATATCAGCTTAACAATATTTCCTTATAGATCAGTTTGTAAAAGTATTTCAAATATTTTCACCTCTATAGATCGGCCAGTGTAGGGATATAAAACAATTCCTACGAATAAGTTAACATTTGGGAATTTATGAAATTGAAATATCATCAGGTTGCAAACATTAAGAGATCATAAAAATAAAGTTAGTACCTGTAGACCAGAATCCTCCCCACATACCAAATGTTCCATAAGATCTTTAACAGATTTTAACATTGGAAATTACTATATTGAGGTTTTTTAAGACACACCCTGTACAACTGGAAACACTTTTTAATTGCTTATCACTTTTTTTCTGTCAAAGTTATTCCGTTAATTTCTTTTCCCAGACCTTCTGCCTGTATTACCCTGTTCATTATTAATTTTCATGAGTGTTCTTTCAAAACTCAAGTCTGTACATTCAAGAACGTCTAATTACATATTTTACTCTTTATTCCTGTTTTTAGAAACCCGCAACTCGAGAGGATAACAATTTTTCAAGCCCATTGAAAAATTTTCAAGGCGACATTTAATAAATTCTTTCGATTTAGGGTTTAACTGTACTATCATTATTTACCACAAACCTAAAAATGTACGAAACAAGTTTCTAAATGAAGATGTATATTCACCTGATCATGTGGTCACATTGTGTAAACAAATACAAATCTCTGGCAGGCATTTTCTCCCCTAAATATACAAACAGGGTGTCCCACGAAACATGACAGTATGCAGGACGACTTAAATGTCGTCTTGATTTTTGATATAAGTTGCTGTGTTTATTTGTAAACCTAATTTTAGAAGTAAATTTCTAGAGATAATAATCACAAAATTTTCCTTGTCCTGCCATTTCCAAAATGTGGTCTGCCTTTTTTGTGCTTTCAATATTGCCCGAGATATGAAGAATTTCGTTCAGAGTTCGACAATTTTGCTTTTATTTAACAAAATTGAAATCTGAACCAAACTCTTTATATCTCCGGTAATATTGAAAGCACAAAAAACGCAGACCACTTTTCTTGAAATGCCAGGGCTAGGAGAATTATGTGATAATTGTTTCAAGAATCCTACATGTTAAAGTAGATAGAAGACTAAATGTCACAAATAAATTCAGATATCAAAGACGTCTTTCAAGTCGTCTTCCTATTGTCATGTTTCGTGGGACACCCTGTAGATGATGATTTAAAAACGCAATTTTTATATGTTATCAAAAATATGTATTTTAAATGGACTTTAGATTTAATTTCAAGGGACTCTCCATTTATTTGCGATAAAATCAAGAATAAATGAATATTATTATAAAGATTTATTCACACACAAAGATATAAATACATATATAAATGGTGTAGTTAAAATTTGTTTAAATAAATTTTTTTGAAAATACAGGTTTCCAAAAGAAAAGAGAAAAAAATATGCAAAATTATGCACAAATAGAAAACATTGATTTTTACTCACTACATAACATATTTATCATTTCAGTTATTACGTAATCATCGAATCCTTCAACATTAATGTTATAAATTTTTAATTTAAATTTAAATTGTGGACCACATGAAATTTGCATTTTAGAAGAATAGTATCAGAATATTTTTATCAAACCTGGTAGATCTTCTACTCCATAATATCCTGGATATGCTACATCTGGTTCAGATCCAAAATTATTTTTTAACCAATCAGTGTCTTCACTTGTCATGAGGAATATAGTTTTGTTGCCCGAATGATCAACACGATTCCTAATTATGTTTTGCTTTTATTTTGTGAGTTTACAAAGTTAACATGTCTTGAATAAAAGTGAGTAAACCTGATAAGACTAAAACAATATGAAAAGTACTGTCTCCAAACATCATCATCAGCCATGAAATCCTACAAAAAATATTAAACATTTTTTTCTGAAACTTAAGCTTTTAAAAAAAATAATAAATGTTTATCATCTTGAACCTAACATAAACCTTCCTTAGGAATATATGAGTTGCCACAAATAAATTTGGGCGTGCATGGTTCTGCTGGTTTGACGTGTATTGAATACTAGCTGAAGTGCCTGGCGTTGCCTGTGAAGTTTTGAAGAAGAAATAATTTCAATTTGTTATCACAGGTTACCCCCGAGGTACCCATGGGTTTCCTTAAAAAAAAGCAGCCAATATGGTCCAGTCGTTTGGCCAGCTATATATATATAAATAGGGTTTCCAATCGGAATTCCATTGCGCGGAATTGCGCCTTGCCTCCGCTTGTGCCATTTCATTGCGCTATAATTGCGAATAAGGAAGCATTTAAATATTTACGGAATTGGGTGCAACGGAATTGCTTTTCCATCTAAAAGTCAACAATTTTAACTGTAGATTTTAAAATAATCGAGGTCCGAGTTTCACTAGTTTCAACATTTTTAAAATTTGCAAAGTTTCTTGTGGTTAAGCTACTAATTAACAATTTATTATAATACGTTTTTCATTTGTTTACATTGGATGAACATTAAAATGGAAAATTGTAGTATTCGTTTCAAAATTAGATGTTTTGCTGCAGTGAGAACCAGAAAACTATGGTACAGAAAGACAATAATAAGTAACTTCTTAAATCACTTATTCAGTTACATGGGTCTGCTTGAGTCTAAAATGTCATCTTCCCATGCCAGAGTTTTCTGGTTGTCAGGCTGCAAATGAATATTATAAAACAAAAGATCAAGTTTAAATTCAATGTTCTTAGCATTTAAAACTGAAATGTTAGTGAAGTTCAGTTCATTGTATGTCACAACCAAAGTTTAAATTTAATCTTTTGTTGTTGAAAGAAATTGCGCAATAATTAATTGCGTTTATTGCGTGCCATAAGGTTTAAATTGGATATTATCAAAAAATTGAAACACAAAAAAAAGTTGGACGGAATTGCCCGCTAAAGCGCGCAATTATTACGAAATTGCGCGAAAGGGCTCGCAATTGCGCGCAAGTAAAAACAAGCTAAGAGCTTTATTATATACTAGCTGAAGAGCCCGGCGTTTAAAATTTAAAGAAATTATTTTGAAAAAAAATTCGAATTTTGTTTAGCCTTTGTCACCCCAAGCTACATATGAGTGTCCACAAAAATTCAGCCCATTCGGTCCAGCGGTTTGGTAGGCCAGAGGGAACTTATTTATGAATGTCTTGTTTTATTATTTAGATATATAGGCAAACGGACCGAAAAACAGGCACGGGCGTACGAGGCCCCCTGGCCTCCCCCTACACGGTGGGCACCCATTGGGGTTCAGTGTAAATATATATTTGAAATTTGATTTATAATACAATATGTATCGATCCTATGAAAAAATAGATATTTTTTAAGAAACGTTTTCATCTCTATTGTTCACCCCTTGAAGCTTACACCACAGTATTAAGAGGGAGTCCACTTAAGAAAATTACATAAATAACTCATTAACACTTGTAAGTTATAAGGAAGTGTGATACTGTATATGATCGAATAGATTACACATTTAAAAAAATATCAATAAAGGGTTTTTAAGGGGGCAAAATGTGCCCCCCCCCCTTACACAAATGCTCTCGTACGCCCCTGAAAACAGGCCATATTCATAAACAGATTAATTACCTGAAATTCTGGTTTCTTAAGATTTAAATAATCTCCTCTCCTGGCATGAACACCAACATACACTATAGCTTTGTCGTCGTAATTCTTCCTTAAAAAAAAACAGAAAGCCTTGTCTTAATTCTTCTAAAAGAGAATTGGACGAACTAAGACGACTTTTATTCAGTGCTGGGTTTCTACGGCGAGCAAGTTTTGATACAATGAATACAATAAAGACAACTTTTAGATTTAGATTTTGATTTCTAGCAAGCTTTCATCAAATCTTTTGTATATCTAAGATGTTTGAAAGCTTGGAAGAAATCAAAATTGAAATAAAAAGTAGTCTTTTTTAATATTTTTTGAACTTTTTTGAAAGTGACTTTAAAGTGACATTAGATGTTAAAGTCTATAGATTTATATCTCTATTTATTTCTCTGGACGATATGAATGAATTGAGAAAGAAATTTTTTGGGAAAATGAATATACGCTTTCACCTTAAACACCATGCATAACAAATTATTCTATATCTTGAGGTAATGAATTATAATATTTTTAATTTAACTTTGAATTAGATTTTTCAATTGTCAGAAATCTAACGGTAAAAATACCTTATCTCCCAAGTTGATTGATTAATAGCATCTTTTGCAGATTTCATAATTTCAGGATGGAACTAATTACAGAGATCAAATATGTCAATTCAATAATTCATATTTAAACATAATTTTATTTAGTAATCAATTGAATTTCAAAAACAACAATTCTTTAGAAATGGAAATTTTACTAAAAATTAAAAAAGTCTTATTTCTTGCCTGAAAATGTTTTTTCAACTCATCTCGAATCTGATAGAAGAGTCCAAAATTTAATGGGTACACACCTACATAATAAATTCAAAGAGAAATTAACCACAAAGTTATGAGCTTTAGCATAGATTATAAATAAATAGGTTTTTTGGTGTTACAGTTGATTGCTGGTACGCCCATTTTTGATAAATATTTGAAATATTTGGACAGAAGCGAATTTTTAAAATTGGATTTCAATCAAAATATTCCTGATAATAAACAGGGTTGTGTTGATCAAACTAATTCCTTCCACTTCAAAAAAATTGTTAAAAACTTACCAATATCAAGAAGCAAATTATAACGTTTACTCTCCATATTTTCCAGAAATTCATCATATATATATTCACCATGCTCATTGATTGAATAAACGTTGTGGGTTGGAGGTTTTTTTAAAATCTCTCCTTAAACAAACAAAAATCTAAAAAACATGTTTTCATGTCAGAAATATGATATTAAAGTCAGTACTTTGAAATATTCCGGAAGTACAAAAAGCTCGGACTAGACAAACTCCGTGAAATGTTTAAAATAAAGAATTTACACTTTTTCTTTTCTTCATGGGCCCGAGCTCTGCGGCTGTATTACGTTAAGTGGCCGAGTTCAGCAGGAAAAATATCCGGAGTTTCTCTTTTTAGGCCTTTGTACTTTCAGCAGTTTGTCTTTTTCTAAGTTTGTCATGTCGCCATGGCGGTTGTCACCTTTCTTAATGCTGAAAGCATCTGACTGAAAAGCATTGTTTAGAACATTTTCTTGATATTCATTCAATAGAGCACTAAAGCCATACTTCGTTAAATCAGTCAATTACTATTCTACGTAACATGTATTCTATATTTGATGTTGTTGTACAGAACTTTTGTTTTGCCAGTATTTTCAACAATTGATAGAACCTTTTTTGTTTTCACGAAAATAATCAAGCTTTTTAAATTTAAAAAAAAAGATTTTCGGGGAAATTGTGAAAAAAAACATCTAAAAGTTTATTTGAACATTTATATTTATATTTATTGATTGATTTCCTTCGAGAAAAACTGAAAAAAAATCGTTTTATTAAAGGAATTGACTCTTTGCATTGCAACAAACTCGGATTTTCGAATCCCTATATCTTCGGATTCCAACGTCGTAAACCTTTGAAATTTCAAACTATGACTTTTGTTATAGATCAAAAAATATAAGTTTGAAATATCAAAGGTTTACGACATTGGGTTCCAAAGATATTGGGATTAGAAAATCAGAGTTTGTGGCAAAGAGTCAATTCCTTTGTCATTAAATTAATCTTTGTTTTGGTTTTAAGAAAATAAAAAATATCACGATGAAAGATAAATATTTGCTCTTTCAATAAACAAAGGAATTGAGTCGTTGCCACAAACCAACATTTTCAAATCCTTATTTCATAGAATTCATAGTTTAAAATATCAAAGGAATTGGGAATCATAGTTTTGAGGCAAAAGCTAAATTCCCATGAAACTATAAATACTAAAATGTGGCGCCATTTTATCTATATTTACTTTTAAAGGAATAAGTATTTAGAAAAGATAAAAAAATGTTCTCTGTTAAAAATTTGAATTCTCCGAAAAAAAAATTCTAACCAATAAGGTAGCATAGGTCATCATAACATTTCCCAATCTGCCATTGCAATCACTCTAAACAGTAAACATTATTATTAACAATTTAAGGGCGTAATTTCATGTGGCCCTCAGTTTTAATTTTTTAACCGATTGGGAAGTTGGGAAGTATACAATTTTCTGTAATATAACTAAGTTCAAGTAACATGAATTGAGTTGGGTTCACACTGTGCGCTAGCGTACATTCTGGTTTCACAAGAATAGATATATTAATAAATAGTCATAGGTTTAGAGGATGACCTTTTGTAAGAAACCTGGAAGACTTTTTAATAAGAAATCAATTACCACAAATTACTATTCTCGTATCAAAAATCTTTAGTTTTTATTTTTGAAAAGTGATTAAATCAGATAACATAGATTTTTAAAGATGAATTATATACTTTTACCAAATGTTGTGACCCTCCAATGTGTTTAGGGGAAATTGACGACCATATTAAGCCATGTTGAAAGGTACTGTAATTTATTATGTATGATCGAATGTTATGATTTAATTAAACAAACTTTAAATATTTGTTATTAAGATATATTTCATACTTACAAATAATACTGAACTAGTAAAAATACATCATGGAATAAGAAAACTTAACACTTATCACAAACTCTTATTTTTAATTTTTATTTCTTGGCAACCTTTGATTTTTCAAACATTGAATTTGAATAAATTAATTAGAATATGAGATAGAATAGCAAAGGTTTTCATCGTGTTTTGATAAAAAAAATAAAAAAAACTATTCTATAAAAAGTCAAGTCAAGAGTCAAGACCACGGCATGCTTTTGATTTAAAAACAATTTTAAATGTGTTTACAAAAAGAACCCTTTTATTCTTTCAAAGCCTTTTAAATATTCAGTTTTTTAGGAACACTTTGTACTATTAAACATGTATATTTCATGGTGTTTTTCCTGATTTGATCTTTACAAATTAATTGTTCCGGCGGACCAGAGCAGAGACTAAAGAAAGATTTAGCTCCATACAAACACTTATTTCCTTGCTGAATCTAAGAAAATATGTAATTTTTCAATTCCATGGTTAATATGTCAAGGTTGGATTCCACTGATGTTTTGTAAAACGGCTGAACCGATCCGGTCCAGTTTTTTGTGGTATCTCATGTGACCCAGGGATGCTTTATATGACTAAACAATATTAAACAAATATCCTGAAAAATATGTAATTTTTGTATTCATCAGTAAAAGAGAAAAATCTGCAAAATTATTATAGAAAAATTTACGGCCAACCTTAAAGTTAAGGGCAAACTTAAAATTATAATTCCACAATCAAAACTTTGAAAATTCCAAGTTTTTTCGAATTGATTCCTTGTCATAAACTTTTCTTATTCCCTTATCTTTTCAACCCAATGTAGTAGACCTTGAAGAGTAAAGTCTGTTAGATAAATAATCTAAGTTTGAATTATCCAAGAATTATCATGTAGGTTGAAAAGAAATAGATTTTAGAAAAATAAAGTTTATCACAAAAACTCAATTCCTTCAATATTTTCTGTTAGATTTTATTGCGTTTTTTATAATATTATTTTGGGCTGTAGTTTTACATTTGACTAGATTATGTAAAAAAAATCTATACTTACATTGCATTCAAACTTATCATAGAGCATCGTACTTTGGGTTTCCATAGTATCCGGAGACTGAAATTCAACAATTCACATTTTTAAAATTCGAGAGCCTTTATAAAAATGTTTACATTTTTTTCATTTTCTGTTTTAAATTGTTCTGTTAATCTTGTTTTATGCATTTTTAAATAAAAAAAAACTTGGGCTTTTATATTATATATATATTATTTATAGTCCAAGGTTGTGGTTAGGACAGTCTAGAGGCCGAGGTTGTGGTTAGAACAAGCTAGAAGCCGAGGTTGTTAACACTTGTAAGTTATAAGGAAGTGTGATACTAGGCCCCATAAAACTGTGCAATATGAATAATAAATTTTAAGCAATCAATTATTTGTATGTTGTTACAAAGGAAGTAGTTTGAAAATCCACTTATTAAGTGAAATGAGTTCACCAGTACACTGCACAATATCTGTTTTTTATATTCGAATATTTTTATATTTAAAATTTAAGACTACAGTCATTTTTCTATTCCACAGCTGTATATGTACATTGTACAGTTAGAGTTGTTGGTCGTTTTTCACAATGATCGTTAAACGATCCTTTTGTTGTTTTGTTTTTTGTTAGTTTTCTTTCAAAAATGATCGTTTCGTTTTCGGAAAAAAAGATCGTTTTTAAAAACTACCCACTCGTTTCGAACTTTTAGAATATAAATAATGATCGTTTTTAAAGACGGTCGTTTTTTTAAAAACGATTATTGACCGTTTATTAACGATTGTTTTAATAAAAACGATCATTTAAAAAAAATGTTATTGATAAATATGTTAACGATCGTTAACGTAACGACGAACTTTACAAAAACGGTCGTTTTTGAAAAAAATTGATCGTTTTTGAAAAAAAAATACTTTTAACTTTATCGAATATTGTCTTATATGAAGTTAAAAAGTTGTGGGGGAGCTAAAACTTCTTGATATTTTCTTTAAAACTACTTAATGATAAGTACTGATGCCCTCCAGGTTTGTTAAAGACGACCCTTCGTTAACGATCGTTAACGATTGTTAACATAGGGTCTTCGTTAACGATCGTATAGCGCAGGGTCGTCGTTAACGATCGTTAGCGCAGGGTCATCGTTAACGATCGTTAGCGAAGGGTCGTCGATAACGATACTTAATGAAATGATGATCGTTTTTTTAAAAACGAACTATTTAAAAAAGATCGTTTCGTTTTTGAATTTTTTGTCGTCGTTTTCATAACGAAACGCTCGTTTTATAAAAAAAAATAAAAACATTAACAACCCAATGTACAATGTACATTGTAAACTATGTGTTACCTGTAAATGCATAAACAAGTGTTGAAATACTAGAAGGCAAATAAGAATAAATATGAAGAAATTTTGTCTCGTCATATTCATCTGAAATTAACGCTTAACAATTTAACAAGTCCGTATTGATTATAGGAAAAACTATTTCTTTTTGCTGATATACTATCATTTATAACACTTTAATAGAAACTTCTTGATTGTTAAACGATTTTTTATTATTTCAATGCCAAGGCTATTGAATTGAATGACTTATTGGTTTTCAAATAAATCTATAATAGTCCATATTTTGGTCACATCATCAGAATAAAAGTAAGTTGAGATAGACTTTTATGCAAACGAACTTGCCTTGACAAATTAGGCTATAAATATATGTTGTACCATCCGCCCCCTCCCAGAATTTGCATAGATTTAGCCCAACCAGCTAGAAGCNACATCAAACTAAAATTAAAAAAATACACAGAACATCCTTTTAAAAGTTGTCAATGGATGAAATCAAGTTTGTTGAAAATATCTAAATCACTGATTACATACTATTCAGAGAGGACAAGCAAGGTGTGTATAATAACTTGCCTTATCAGAGAAAGCTTATACTTAATTGAACAAAGGTGCTATCTCAAACTCTAACTTTTTTATCCCTTTATCTTTGGGTTAGACTTTGTTGAAATATCAAACGTTTACACAATTTTAGGATAAAAAGATTAGAAAAATAATTAGAAAATTAAAGTTTGAGAAACCCTGTCTCTTAAAATATCTTTTACTAAATACATTATTGATGGTTTTTCTCAAATATATAAACAGGTTGGTAATTCACATCCTGATCTGGAGCAGGGGTAAAATTTCCTAAACAAAAATAAGAAAGTTTAGCGAAAAAATTAAGATCTTAAAACTTTCTAAATTTACTTTATATAAACAGATATACATCGTAGTTTTACGTTTAGACTTTAGAGGGACTGAAAACTGTAGGATACCCTTCAATATCGAGTTGCGTGTACAATTAATAATTCTAACATTAATAATTATGTCCGGTATTGTTGAATCCAGGGATCCTTTTAGACAATAAATATTTTCCATATTGTTGATTTTGTGTAAAACTGATTCATATATTTGTACGGAAGAGATAAGGATGGTAATTATGTATCAGGTATCGTCGTGGAACATCGTTGTATCACTCTACAAACAGAGGATTACTAGACATTGAGCCTATTGTCCCTTGCCGGCTACTTCATGAATATTTCTTTGAAAGGGTTGGTGTAGGCGTAATTTCAAATTCAATCAAATTCTATATATAAAAAAATAAAAAGCCACGAATAGATAATTAAATGTTTCCAAAGATTCCAAAATTAAGCTTTACCTGCAGATGTCCAAAAGAGTTTCCAATTTGTCACCAAATATGGATATAAGATGGGTCCATACACCCTAGGAAAATATGGATATAAGATGGGTCCATACACCCTAGGAAAATATAAATATAAGATGGGCCCATGAACTCCTAGGAAAATATGGAGATATAAGATTGGTCCATAAACTCTAGGAAAATATGGATGTAAGATGGGTCCATACACCCTAGGAAAATATGTATATTAGATAGGTCCATACACCCTGGGAAAATATGGATATAACTATAAGATGGGTCCATATATTCCAACAAGAAAAACACGGTCCATAAACTCTATGAAAAAATGGAAAAGATCGGTTCATAAACTTTAGGAAAATATGGAAATATTATCGGTCCATAAACTCTATGAAAAAATGGAAAAGATCGGTCCATAAGCTTTAGGAAAATATGGAAATAAGATCAGTCCATAAACTCTATGAAAAAATGTATAAGATCGGTTCATAAACTATAAGAAAATATGGAAACAAGTCTTATTTATGGGAGTCCCATTATTTCTTGATTATCAGAAGTGTTCAACAATTAGATTCTGAATGGCATAGATTAGCGCTGCCTTATCTCTCGTAATCATTTTGTTCTATAGCTCTTATTTTGAAACTGTCACTTTCAGACATCTTGAATTTTATTTTTGAATGCACACAGGTTAGAAAGCAGGTTGGTTGAAAAGACGACGATGATTTAAAAATCTGTAAAAATCTATGAGAATCTCAAGCTAAAACCTCGTGCTTTGAGTAACAAAATGTACATGTTTAGGGCTACACAAAATTAAAAGTTCGAGTAAGTGAGATTAAATCAAAGGTCAAGGTGATGTGACATCTTCAAAGTTGACCCAGTCTCGAAAACTAATACAACTTTTCATAGCAGTCTGAATCTATGTGAATCTAGTGTACGATGTCCAAAGCTAAAAATGGTATACACAAATTTTGGTTTCTAAACTCACCTGGCAGCATTAAACTCTATCCTGTCTACTCCAGCAACTGGAACACCAATCACTAACTGAATTTAACAACTTTTAAATCAAACTGTCCTAATAAAAATCCAACTATTTAGAAGAAAAGTTTTAAAGAACCTATGAAGCTGAAGAAGGAAAAGGTGTTTTCCTTCAAAGGCACCGTTGGCATAAATTTACAGGATGGCATGTTTGATGCACAGATGTACCTGTTTAGTGTTTGTCTAAACATCAACTATAAATACAGAGCACACTGTGCATGTGATGAGTTTCCCTGCAGTCAAAAATGTTCTTCTCAAAAATATGAATGGGTACCGTTGTGAATGGAAAATGCCACTTTGTAAATAAAAGATCCCTTAAAATCAAGTGTCCAGTCCCTTAACTTTACCTTAGCATCTGGACTGGATACACAGCTGACTCTAGCTATGGTTAAGATATCCCCCCAGGGGTCCCCTTAACTTTAGCTTAGCATCTGGACTGGATACACAGCTGACTCTAGCTATGGTTAATATATCGTTCCTTAACTGTACCTTAGCATCTGGACTGGATACACAGCTGACTCTAGCTATGGTTAATATATCCCCCCAGGGGTCCCCTAACTTTACCTTAGCATTTGGACTGGATACACAGCTGACTCTAGCTATGGTTAAGATATCCCCCCAGGGGTCCCCTTAACTTTAGCTTAGCATCTGGACTGGATACACAGCTGACTCTAGCTATGGTTAATATATCCCCCCAGGGGTCCCTTAACTGTACCTTAGCATCTGGACTGGATACACAGCTGACTCTAGCTATGGTAAATATATTCCCCCAGGGGTCCCTTAACTGTACCTTAGCATCTGGACTGGATACACAGCTGACTCTAGCTATGGTTAAGATATCCCACCAGGGGTCCCTTAACTTTACCTTAGCATCTGGACTGGATACACAGCTGACTCTAGCTATGGTTAATATATCCCCCCAGGGGTTTATTGCATCTCCATATCGTCCTCAAATAATTTTTTTTTAATTAGTCATTTTTTCTGCAAAGGAATTAATTTTATGAAACAAATTCAGATTTGTAATTCCTATATCTTTGCAACCCGATGTGGTGGACTTCTGATATTTCAAACTTTAAATTCTGATTGATCAGCTAATCTAAGTTTTAAATATCAAAGATGTACACTATCAGGTTGCAAAGATATAAAGGATTAGAAAATTTGAGTTTGCAAAAACTCTGTTCCTTTCGCAAGATTTTTAAATCCACATATATACACTGGAACAAAGGAATTTGAGGAGGACTTTTATTGTTCGGCTAAATAATATTTGATTTGACTTAGACTTAGCCTTTGTTTTTAGCTTTTGTAGCTAGAATTCAAGTCAGTGAGTTATTTATTTTTTTCAAATTTATATCATTTTTTTGACAAAAAAAATTGAGTCTTTGCCACAAACTAAAATGTTCTAATCCCTTATATATTTGCAACCTGATGGTGTAAACCTTTAATATTTAAAACATGTATCATTTTATCTAACAGAATTCATAGTTTGAAATATCTAAGGTCTACGACAATGGGTTGCAAAAATATAGGAATTAGAAAACTTTAGTTTGTGGAAAAAAACTCAATTCCTTTCAGAGCGATGAACAAAAACCGGTTTTCCAAATGAAAAAAAGAACAATCAGGTGAAAAAATGTTTATTGTAAGTGGCATTAACTGAATTAGAATACAGAAATAACTTAAATGATAGATTAACCGCAATGTAGGATTTTGAAATAAAGAATAATAGTTTTTTCCTTACCTAGTCCTGAGTGTTCCAATGAAGAGTAGGAAATTATCACGTCAAAAAGCGGAAGTTCCTGCTTTTTATATCTTTCCCTAAAAAACTTCTCCATTGTCTCCTCCTTATCTTCTTTATCATTTAACATATCATACTTTACTTTAATTATTTATTTTATCAGAGCTGAAACTTGGAATTGTGGATATCGAGATCAATGCTTGAGCTCATCTTTTTTTATCTTAAGATTGACAGAATAAAGAAACCGGAAAACCAATTAGAAGCCGAGAAATATTTGATTTTGTCCTCGACCAATAAGAGAACTCTCATTAGTTGGATATCCAAAAGAGAGGATTAAGAATAAAGTCAAAAGTGTCCACAATGGATACAGTGATTTAGCAATACAATACAAGATTTTTAAGTCTAGAACTCATATATAGTAATTGAAATCTCTTTTATTATAATTTAAAAAAGCCAATTTTTATTCAACAATATGTTAAATATAATCTGAAAAAAAAAACACCTGAAAACTGCTGGAGTTACAAATTCTAGTTTTGGAAATTCACTTTTAAACATTCCATACTCTAGAGTCATTACAAGTGATGGATCCCTGAAGAAAGACTTAATCACAAATTGAGTCATTATATTTAATAGACTTTGTTACATTAATTAGACTTTAATACAAATATACTTTGATACACATGTAGACTTTAATACAAATAGACTTTGATACATATAGGCTTATAATACAAATAGACTTTAATACAAATAGACTGTGATACATATAGACTTATAATACAAATAGACTTTAATACAAATAGACTTTAATACAAATATACTTTGATACACATATATACTTCAATAAAAAATAGACTTTAATACAAATAGACTTTAATACAAATAGACTTTAATACAAATAGACTTTAATACAAATTTCAATACAAATAGACTTTAATACAAATAGACTATGATACATATAGACTTTAATACAAATAAACTTTAATACAAATAGACTTTAATACAAATAGACTGATATAACTAGACTTTATACGAATATACCTTGATACAAAAATAGACTTTAACACAAATAGACTTTGATACAAATAGATTTTAACATAAATAGACCTTGACACCTACACATAGGTCTAATACGAAAAAAATACTTTGATACATACAGACTTTAATACAAAATGACTTTAGCTCACATATAATTAGAAAGAAATGATTTGAACACAATTCTAACAATTTAAACAAATAAATTTCAATATAAAACTAAAAACTTTATATTCCCTATCTCAACTAAAAAATGGTCGAAATATGTCATGAAAAAAAATGAAAAAACCAATTTCTTACTTTGAGAGGACGACTGCTTCGACCCATGGATTCTGTGTACCAATTATAAGAATAGATTTATTCTTTACATCTATCTGTTCTAAACCCTGATATTCAAATAGAAATAAGTTCTAGTCACAATTAATTCTATATAACTTATGTATCTTTGCAACCTCATGGCGTAAACTTGTGCTATTTCAAACTCCCATTCAATCTAGCAGAAATTATTGTTTGAAATATCAAGGTTTACGACGTCGGGTTGCAAAGATATAAAGATTACAAATCAAAGTTTACAACAATTATTTCAAATGAAGAGATATAAAGATTTTTTGTCAAGCAAAATTATGAAAAAGCGATTCTATTTCAAGAAAATCGAAAGTATTTAACTCTAAACATGCTGGGGGGGGGAGGCGTTTGACCCCCCCCCCTGGTTTTTTGACACCTTAATTTTTACAAAAATCAAAACCGAACCAAAAAAGATAAAAAAAACATATTTAAACCAAAAACGATAAAAACCAAATATCAAACGAAAAACCGAACCAAAACCAAACCAAAAACGATGCAAAAACCAAAAACAAACCAAACCGAACCAAAAATTATCAAAAAAAAATCAAACCAAAAACGATGAAAAACCCAAAATCAAACCAAAACCGAACCAAGACCAAAGCAAAGACGACGGAAAAACCAAAATCAAACCAAAACCAAATCAAAACCAAACCAAAACGATGAAAAAATCAAAATCAAACCAAAACCGAACCAAAACCAAACCAAAAACTATGAAAATACCAAAATCAAACCAGTTCCGAACCAAAACCAAACCAAAAACGATCAAAAAAACCCAAAATCAAACCAAAACCGAACCAAAAACTAACCAAACGCATTAAGAATTCTAGTAATGCATCACCTGATTAATTAGCGTACTCCCAGAAGAATAATTATCTAGCGGTGTCCCAGCCAGGAAACTGTCAACTAATCAAACATTTTTTTATGAAATAGATGACGAACATCTTTGAAAATGTGTTCGAAGATTTATTCAAATCCGCACTAAATTGCGTTCTAAAAACAGCTGGAAATGAGGGCGAAACTTTTCTATCTTAAACTTTTGACTTCAGCGTTCAGTCAGTCTATATCCTCCCTTAGACGTCAGTTGCTTTCCTAAAACCAGAAATGGACAATATAATCTCCGAATTTTGAAGGGAGTGTCTGGCTGGACATGGTAGTTGAGCTGAGAGTGCAGTATTGCAGAGACATCTTTTGCAAAAATTTTTGAGACATTTGTATAGTGTATAATTACTTAGTAAGAGCAATCAAAGCTTTCAAATGGACAGTCCGGCAACATTTTAAAGATCAAATTTGCGCTCTTATTTAGCAATTATACACCGTACAAACGTCTTGTAGATCTCGAACAATTAAAAACTAAAACATAATTTTCGTCTAATAAAACAACTAACAAAAATATGACTTACTATATTTTTGAATTTCTTCTTTACTATAAACTCCTACAGTCTTGGTACCCCCTTGGAATGTTTCATCTAAAACATTGAAAATTCAATTACTTTCTTAATTTCAGAAGTAAAGAATAAAAATGCATGGCCATGATCAAATAAAACAGAGTACATGTTATCAGAGAATAAATTACGCGTCAGCCATTTTCTTGTTTGTCTTTACCCTATCAATTCATAATTTCAAAACCTTGGATCAGATTTTTTCAAAGTTTGGTGTATACTGGTTTTCAGGGCGTTTCGTGTCCATCTTCTATTTTAAATTTTAATTGATGCTTAAGAAAACTTTCTCTTTGAATACATTATGAAACAATTACAAAAAAAAGTTTGCGGATTTAGTAATATTTTTTTCGTGGATTTTCAAAATGTTATAAAAAATTTGATCATTTGATAATTTTGAAATTTGATCATCCATAAACCTTCCATTTGGGGTCATGTGAGGTCACACAAAAAATTTGGACGTTTATCAGTTACAAACAAACAGAAAAAACAAGCAAAATATGTATATTTAGATGGAAAAGTAAAAATATTTTAATCCGATTCATTATCAAATCTAACTTACCAATAAACCAAGAATTAACGGATATTTTTCCATGGTGAGTAAACTCATTCTAAACAAAATTAGAGGATAATTTAGATTTTAAAAAAACTTTTTATAAAATTTTATTTCTTACAAATGTATAGAAATAACAATAAATTTCCACTGCATAGGGGGATTTAGAAGATATCTTTAATCTTAAATAAAAAATTCAGAAACCCTAGATCTTTGCAACCTGATGTTTCAAACTGCAGTGAAACAGTTTGAAAGCATCAGAAATATAAACTCTTGAACCTGGAAAATTAAAATATAGTTTCAATTGTTTATCAGATAAAGGTTTATAGGGTACTGTTGTGAATCGGGTGTTGCCATCTTTGTATGTAGATTGTAGGGTAACAATCCTATTTGTTTCCCACCTGAATATGTTCTGGGATCATTTCCCATTGCATTGCAGCATGTCCACTTGGTTTATCAATCTCATCGCTGGCAAATATAGCAGCACAATCTACCTAAATAATCTTTTTCATTACATATTTCGCGGATTTTCTTTATTTATTTTTATCACGGGCAGCCGTAGGACATTTGAATTTCCGAGCCGGGTCAATTTTTCCGGTCCCAGTTTGTGCTGTACTAGCTCTATGGATATGTCAAGCCGGAGCAACAAGGTTGACGCGGTCAGACTTTATGCTTCATATAGGTTGAATTTACTTTTACTAAAGGGGCAGAGGTGCGTGTTATGGAACTCTAATTAAATATATTTATTTATCCAACTGTTTTGGGTTATCATATGTTGCTTGTTGTGATTTTTAGTTTTTTGTTTTCAGTTTAAAACTGTCAAAACTTTGATTTTCTATAATTCCTTTATCTTTGCAATCCATTGTCGTAGACCTTGGATATTTCAAACTATAAACTTTATGTTAGATCAAATAATCTCAGTTTGAAATATAAAAAGGGTAAATCTCGCATTCTTTTAAGCTTTTTAAACTCTCATTGCTTTCGGGATTAAAAATGGAGATCAGATTTTATAAACCTTAGCTGTAACAGTTCCCATTCATAGGTTACCTTAGCTGTAACAGTTCCTATTCTTAGGTTACCTTAGCTGTAACAGTTCCTATTCTTAGGTTACCTTATGTAACAGTTCCTATTCTTAGGTTACCTTAGCTGTAACAGTTCCTATTCTTAGGTTACCTTAGCTGTAACAGTTCCTATTCTTAGGTTACCTTAGCTGTAACAGTTCCTATTCTTAGGTTACCTTATCTGTAACAGTTCCCATTCTTAGGTTACCTTTGCTGCAACAGTTCCCATTCTTAGGTTACCTTAGTTGAAACAGTTCCCATTCTTAGGTTACCTTAGCTGTAACAGTTCCCATAACATCATCATGATTTTTCTGTATTTCCTTTGTTAGATCACAGAGCTCGCCACAGAAATCAAGAATAGTATCAAACCGTCCACCTGATTAGAACTTAATGTGACCCACCATTTAAAGAGGGCATGATCTCAGCTTGAAAAGTGTTTAATTCTGATGATTTTTCCATTGTTTCTGGAGCAAGAAATGCGCGAGTCACTTGCGACGAAACTACAAATGAAAATAATCTGTTTTTAGAAACGAAAAATTGATATACAAGTCATACCTTATCAAAGCTTTTAATGGTATCGTAGTAAATCGGACATTGCAGCTCTCAATTAATGGAGGGTCACTTGAAATTACATTTACAGTCCCTTTTTTACATAACCTATATTTAATTGCACTTTTCAGTTTTCAATAACCTCAAATTGACCTAAATATTACTAAAGTAAACTGAGTTCCTGTCACAAACTCTCATTTCCGAATCCCTTTATCTAAGCAACCTTATGTCAAAAACTTTGAATTCTAAATTCTGTAAGGTCTAATAGAGCATAAAATAAAAAAGGTTTACTCCATCAGGTTGCAGAGATATAGGGATTTGAAAATTTAAGTTTGTGGTAAAAGAAATATTACCTAAAGGACGTCTTCGAGGTTTTGGCCAGAAAAATGTTACTTTATTCTGAAAAAAAGTTTTTGTTTTGCTTTAAACTAAATCATAACAAGAAATGTTCGGTTTAAAGTATCCCAAGGCCGAATTCAAAGAATTTGAGCCGCGGCTTAAATTTAAGCCGCGGCTCAAATATGGTTGGTTCCACTTAAAATCATATTCATTATTTCAAGATTTAAGCCGGAGCTCAATTGAAACCGGTTTTTGGCGGATTTAAGACGCAGCTCAAATTCATTAAATTCGGACACCGAGTTCCAACTTTTCTAAAAAAACTGTTCATAATTTTCATAATTGGATTTGAGATAAACAGAGTAAACTTCTTAAATAAAGGATTTATTTAGTTTTTATTCTGAAATTATAAGATAAATTCATCTAGATATCCTTGACTTACAAGTTTACACAGGGCATTTTGAGCTAAGTCAATTGCTAGGCGTTATCCCAAACAAAAGGTTTCGTAAATAAATAGAAAATTTACCTGCAGAGCATTCCAGGAACCATAAGATTTCAAAACTTCTTTGTGAAAACTGTAAACTTGATTTCTATAACTTAGGATAAATCCAATACCCTGAAATTTAGTACTTTGATTGAATTGATCTGTTTAAACCTGAAAGATCCAGTGCATACAATCACTAATTACTGATACAATATAATTTTTTTAAAAAAGAACTCTGCATTTTTAGAAAACGGGGGACACGAAAATTGAGAGAAAAAATGCTTACAACAAAAAATGTGCCGATGAGTGCCAGAGAGAACATGGGTTGTTTCTTCAGCATGGTTAATCTGAAAAAAATTCATGTGATTTTTTAACAAAATTTACAACATTTAAAAATGTATAACTAGAATATTTGTAACATGTATAGAAAAGTGAAATAAAAAGTTATAAATTTATCAACCCTATCCCGAAATGGGCTTTTTTTGTCTAATATAGATGTCCCCCCCCCCTATGACTTTTCCCTTAGAGTTGAGGTAGGGGAGTGTTATACATGTCCATAGTCAAATTTTTCTAGGCCTGCTCATATATTAAAACAAATTAGACCCCTTATCCAATACCATCACACACAATCCATCTAAATGCCGCGCATGGAGTTCAACGGGAAAAAACCTACTTATGAAAAAATTAAATTAAACTTAGGGTATTGAAGATATTGAATTGCTTTGTGAGGATGTTACAATTGGTATATTTGAAGTTGTATTTGCTGTTGAGGATAATACTGGAATTGTTGTGTTGATTAGATTAGGTAAGATGCTTCTTGATGTGTAGAACTAGATGCTGAGGATAATACTGGAATTGTTGTGTTGATTAGATTAGGTAAGATGCTTCTGGATGTGTAGAACTAGATGCTGAGGATAATACTGAAATTGTTGTGTTGATTAGATTAGATAAGATGCTTCTGGATGTGAAGAACTAGATGCTGAGGATAATACTGGAATTGTTGTGTTGATTAGATTAGATAAGATGCTTCTGGATGTGTAGAACTAGATACTGAGGATAATACTGCAATTGTTGTGTTGATTAGATTAGGTAAGATGCTTCTTGATGTGTAGAACTAGATGCTGAGGATAATACTGGAATTGTTGTGTTGATTAGGTAAGATGCTTCTGGATGTGTAGAACTAGATACTGAGGATAATCTAGTCTCAACCTTTCTAAGAATATCATTCAGGTCAAACAGCCTGAAAGATTAAACTTAAATATTTACACATTGTATAAAAATTAACATGTTTAAATTTTAGTTGAAGAGACTGTCAATGTAGTTTTAGTGATCTTACTCTATTCTATCTTACAAGGCTTTTATTTAACTTTTAATTGTACCTCTATCTGCGAGCATCTTCTCTTAATTTCACAAAAACTTAAACAGACAGACAGACAAGCAAAGTATATATATATATATTTAGATTGACATTTTTGGCCATTTTCTTTTAATAATATGAAGTAGTAATTTTAGAGTCACTCATTCAAGCGAAGCCGGAGATTCAACGAAAATTATCAATATCAAAATACAAATGTTCTACTATCTTTATCTTCTTTGAAAAAAGGAGTTCCAAATTGTGAATCGGATCTGGAATTCTTTAAAGAATTTCCTAAAGTGACATTGACAACCCATGAAAGCGGCGACTCATTGTGCACACTGGATATATTTTAACTTTAAGAGTAAATGAAAATTAAACGGCACAAAAATTGCAAAAATTCGGTCAAATTTAAGAGACTGTAACCTTAATTTTAATAGATCTTACTGTAACCTTAATTTTAATAGATCTTCCATTCATAGATGGACATGTCCGTTTCACATTCTGATCAAGATATCCATCATTCTCTCTTTAAAAAATGATTGCTTTTTTTGTGGTTTCTCTGCACACCTTCGAGTCTGCAGCGACGAACGAAAGAATTTTCTCAAAATCAAAACTCAAAACTGAGAACTCTTTTGAAAATTTTGTGGAACCTGTGGTAAAAACTTTAATGAGAAAAAAATGCTATCTTGATTACTGTGGAGAAATTCTCTGGAATTTCTCAAAATGTAAACTTGGAAATCTGTTCCTCAAGAAATATCTTGAAATCGTAACCAAGTCCCGAAAAAGTCTGAAGAATGTGTTCACCCAAATAATTCTAAAATTATCAAAAATTTCCTGAGAATTTCTTGTAAATTTCATAGTTCTGAAAATCTCTCCTTAAACACTACTCTTATAACTGATATGACTTTGAAATTGATGGTGTAAACTTTTGATATTTTCAGCTTTGACTAAGATAAAAATATGAGAAAATTTGTTACAAGTAATCAGTTACTTTGGCGAATATCGAGAATTTTTTCACTTTTGTTTTCCTGTGTACTGTGTACTGTGTACTGTGTACTGTGTACTGTGTACTGTGTATCCCGATATATACCATTCAAAAGTTCCCAGCTCTGTAAACTTAATTCGATTTTCAGATTTTATGTTCAATTTCTTGCGGTCCCCTTTACTGCTTTATATAATCAAAAATGACGAAACCAACTCTTAAAATGGATAATTTTCAGTTGTGTTTTTCCCAAAAAAGTTACTTGCATTTTGGCGCAAAAATCTCCTTTTTTTATTTCCGTGAACAGTCTTTTTAACATATGAAAATTACCTCGAGATGGTTTTTTCGCCATGAAGTCATAAATCCAACTCCCCTCAACTATATTCATCATATCCCACACCAGTAAAGGTAGAAATGTTTCTTCATCTCTCTAAAACAAAATAAATTATTTTTTCTCTTTCTAAAAAAAAATGAGATTATAAGTTTTTCAAAGTCAGTCAATTTTTTTCAATAAGATATCGATGAATACGATGAAATCAAATTTAAAGATCAAGAAATAATGAAAGGGACCCGAAAATAACAAACATAATTATTGTCGTTTACATTTACTATTTTTGACAGCTATCTTCAGACATCTGTTCAATGAGATTTAGTAATTTCCTGAATAACACAAAAAAGCTTGTGTTTCAAACAATCGTACGTATCATATCAAACATCAATTATGTTCCTGGACTTGAGGTCAAAGTTATATCTAAAAAATGAGATCCCTGGTATACTCCTGGACAAACTCCTATCGTGGATAAACACCAACCTTGATATCCCTGGATACACCTCTACGAACTCCTTGGATAAACACCAACCTTGATATCCCTGGATACACATCTGCGAACTCCGATCTTGGATAAACACCAACCTTGATATCCCTGGATACACCTCTACGAACTCCTATCTTGGATCTCTTAGTCACAAGAAATTTGGCTCTTGAATAGAATGGAAAAAATCAGGTATGCAAAGTTTTGCGGATTATTCCAAAATATGTGAAAAAGCTAAAATTCTTGAAAATTCAAAAGTTTACACCATTAGGTTGTTGCAAGGATGTATGAATTACAAAATTTGAGTTTGTGACACAGACTCAATTATTTTGCTTAGAAAAAATCAGTTTAATTTGTTTTCCCTGATAGGAGATCTATTTGGTTTAAAGGCTAAAAACTTGTTGCTGAGATGAAAGTTGAAAGTTCGGTTCGATTCTGAATCTAAACAAGAGAAAAGCTATTTAATGGTAAAGAAAAAATATATTTTGTGTTTTGACTAAAGGAAAATTACACAGACCAGGAATAACAATGTTTAATGTAAAGCTGTAAGGAATTGGGTCTTTGCCACAAATTCAGTTTTTGTAAAACCTATACCTTTTCAACCTTATGATGAAAACCTTTGATATTTCAAACTTACATTATTCATAGTTTGAAATATTAAAGATTTACGATTAGAAATGCAGAGTCTGTGGCAAAATGTTAATTCCTTTACAAGATGAAATTTAATAATTTTGAAAAAATGTATTTTTATTTTCATAAAAAGTATTAAATATTCTGGCGTGAGACATCTTTTAGCAACGTAAAATTGCTTAGATGTTTCTATTTCCAAAAATATGGAGTTGATGTGAATTTTGAAGCAGGTTAACACTTCGTTTTAAAAACATTTAACATGTGTTGTCTAGCTGTATCAAGATATCCGCCATGAAAAGACCGCGCTTCATTATAAATCTAAAAACAATATAACTGTGAGAAAGATATAGTTCTGAATTGTCAAGCAAAATTATGAAA